ACTTCCGTATCATTCACCTCCTCTTCAAGACTTTCCTTGTCCTCAAGGATTAGAAAATTAAGCGCACCATCATCTTCTCGGTTTTGAACTTCACCCTCCATTGCTCCTCGGCCTTCTACGAGTTGTCGCTTGTATTCTTCTCGATTTCTTTGTTCATGGAGCTCGTCTAGATATGTGCTCTCCCATGGGGTAAGTTCTCTCTCCAAACTTTCCAATAATTCGAGATCTTCCCAATCCATCTCGTCCATTGGCTCATAAGACATTTTTTTTTTTTGTAAGACTCTAAAAAATAATTCGAACAAAGTCGAACCAAAAAGAAAAGAAAAACAAGAGAAATTCGGCCCCTTAACAAAAGGTAATAACCGAAAAAAAATCAAACAAAGGACTAGATGACACTTTTTTTTTAATACAAAAATTCGAAAATTTTGGGTAAAAATTCGAAGAAATTTGAACCCCCAAATCGACCAAAAAAGAAAAAGAAAGGGATAGAAAAAGTTCACGAACACCCAATCGATCACTCTCAATGAAAGCACCAATGATGACGGATCGGGTGTTGCGTTCCCTCGACTTGTCTCGATCACGGCTTCGCCACGGCCTTGCTCTCGACGATAGGTGTGATCGAATCGGTTATTAGCCTAACTCTCTAACGATACTTGAGTTCACTCGGGTATTAGCCTCGCTACACTCTCGAAATAGATCGGGTCTTAGCCTCTCTAAATCGTTGAACTGGCTTGGGTCTTAGCCTCACCAATTCGGTTGCATGATCGAATTCTCACGAACCCTAACACACGGTTTCGAACAAACGTTCTTTTCTATTTCATTAATTTCAAGACATGAAAAACAATGAGGGATGATCCCTATTTATAGATCCTAACTATGACTAATTCTAATCTAACTAGAAAACATATTAAAGCAATAAAATATTAAATTCCTAAACAATCTAGATACTATTGTGCAAGAAGGAAACTAAATATCTAGAGTCCTAAATTGACTAGATCTTGATCTTGCTTGGCTTGCACTCCAAACAATTCAAATCACACGCCCCAAGTACTTTCGGCCGCCTCATTTTGCGCACCGCCTCATCGCGTTGCCTATTCCTCGTCGCGCGCGCCTCGCACGCGTCACACGCCGCCTCAGCTTCTCCTAGTCCCGTGCGGACTAGGCCTTGTCCGTCCGCGCAAGCATCGTCCCTCGCGCACTCCTGCTGGTCGCTAACTCCCCCCCGCGTGTGTACCCCATCGCTCGGCACTCCTAAGCCCGCAAGGTTTAGGCCTTGCGCATGTGCGCCCCACTCGCGCGCTCTCGTCCCCGCGCCCTCGCCACCGGCCTGTTCGCGCACGTCCTCGCCACTTGCGCGGTTGGTGCCCACGCTCGATGCCCCCGCATCCTTCTCGCGCTCGCCTGCCCGCTCGCGCGTACCATCGACGCTCGTGTCCCGATCGCCTATCGCACACCCGCGTACACCGGCGGTTCCACGCGTATCGCCGACCCCTGCAGCTTGCCTACCTCCTGCGCATGATCGCGCGTTACTTGCGTCCAACATCTCGGCGCCGCTTCTTCGTTTAACGCCTTGACCCTTCGACCTTTTGCGCGCATCACCGCATGATGCGCGCCATACGCCCGATAGCCGGTCCTCATTGATCTCTTTGCCCCCTGACGGCCATGGATCCCAACCATCCAACCCAATACAGTCTCCTGCACGCCATATCCAGCCATCTTCCGTTCCTAGCCTTCCTCGTCTTTGAAACTCTGAACGCCATGCCCGTTTCTTCCTAGTACACGACCCACAACATTGGCTTGCCTTTTGCGCCTTTGTTTTGCATCGTCTTTTGGCCCGTCGCTTCTTGATCTTCAACTTAGCCCGTGGACCACACCCTTTTGGCCAGTCTCTCTTGCATGATGGTCGATAAATCGGGCTTGATGGCTCCTCCAACATGTTCTCCAGCCATATGTCGAGACCATCGTCCTCTTCCTTGTCGGACTCGCCTAGGTTGATGACCACTTCCGTATCACTGCTGCCCTGCGCCCGCGCGCGTTGATGCGGAAGTGGTCCCGGACCCTTTGAAGACCGAGCACGGGATGCATTTAGGCAAAGGGAGGAAACGCCGCAAACGGATGCGCCATCAGAGGTTTCGAGATGCACACCGAAGGAGCAAAACTTGGTGGGTAAGGTCAAGACATCAGGGGGCTTGTAGGAATGGGAAGCAAGAGTCGGGTGCACGCTGGGCACAGCACGCGCACACGGGCGCGCACACAGCGTGCAGGGACGCAGGGGCACGCACGCGCAGGCATGCACACAGCGCGTAGGCGCGTAGGGGCGCGCTGATACGGAAGTGGTCATCAACCCAGGCGAGTCGGAGGATGAAGGTGGCGATGGACTCGATATTTGGCTAGAAAATATGTTGGAGGAGCCATCTAGTCCTATTTACTGGCCATCATGTGTACGAGATTGGCCAAAAGGTTGTGGCCCAAAGCTGAAGTCGAAGGTAAGGAAACGGACGACCAAGAGGCAACGCAAAGCAAAGGCTCGAAAAGCAAGTCAATGTTGGTGCAAGCCTTGTTCGAGGAAAAGGCGAGTTCGCAAGATGGTGGCTCGAAGGCAAGGTAAGAGTATAATGGAGGATGGATGGATTTGGCGAGATGGTGATTGTGGATGGATGGGACCCATGGCCATCGGGCGAGCCAACGGAGTCAGACGGCAAAGGGGTCGATGAGGATCGGCTATCGGGCGTAGGGCGCGCATCGGGCCATGATGCGCGCGATAGGGTGAGGCACACGATGTCGAGGGTACGCGGATGTGGAGTAGAGGATCGAGGCACGGAGGTTGATTGGGACGCGTTGGCGTTTGGCGGCAAAGAGACGGGAAGCACGGGTTGCGCAAAGGCAGTGCACGCGTACAAGGAAGCCGATGGTGGCGCGGTGCTCGCGGGCAGTATCGAGTGGACGTACGCGGGCGAGGTAGTCGGCAAGACCGCGGGGCGCGATGGTGATGGCGAGATGGCTAGCGTGCGCAGTACTCGCGGGGGTGACGAGGACGCGCGCGGGAAGGCCAGCAGGGGCGCGAAGCGCGCGAAGTCGCACGAGTGCGCGACAGACGCACGAAGCCTAAGCCGTGAGGGCATAGGACTGG